GCCAAATACAACTTCTGTCATGCTCATATAATCAAATTAAAGACGCTGTTATTGCGACAATAAAGACGACAAAATCAATATTACACATCGTTTTCCAATACACGAGTTTGCCGAAGCAGCAAAGCCTTTGTGAATCTTATTGAATGGATCCAACAAATAGAGGCAGGGTTGATCCGAACGTAAACATTCCGAATCCAGCTGACTGGGTAGTTTTAACGCTAATCAAAAGGCAACTAAGGTTAACTCGTTGTTAGTAAGTTAGCAGACTCGACTGTCTGCATGCCAAGGTTAGAGAAGGTAGGACGAAGCGGTTGGTCTCCATGGTGACCGACTCCTTAATAAGATTGTTGGGTCTAGACCTAGATATTACGAAATAGGCTACTGGCGTTCACTTGAATTGAACCGTTTTTTTATAAATTCAGAACTTATAAAATTTATATTTCGAACATAGTTCATTCATTTTTCAAATTACAATCTTGACCATGGTTTTGATTTATGAAACTGGCTGTATCATTTTCGCGATTAAAAAAACAATAAACGCTTTCTTATTTTAAATAATTGAAAATATCGTTTGATTTTTTAACCTTCTCTAAGGTTACCTTTTCAAATTGACCTCTAAAGTAAGAAACAAAGAGCCCAATATAGTAACGCAAAAATTCAAATAAAGAATCTACACTTTTTAAAACAATTATGAAAGAAAAGATAAATCTGGCAACTTGTGCCCGCACAATAACAGTGCTGGCCATTGTCACCGCCTATACAAACGAGGCGGGAAAAATGGAATCGGTGTTTCCAGCCAGCGTGAAAAATCGGCGTGTATTTTTTATTGTGGCAGAACCGCGTGTGGGCTTTGGTTCGCGCCCGCGGCGCCGACGCCTCGCTGCGCGCGCTTTCTGCCGTTTTGTTTTTTGATAGTTCTTTGCGAAACGTGAAATGTAATGAAACAATACTTTTGATAATGCACTGACGTGTGTGAGAGGAAGACAATGATGTTCAAAGAGGATATTTAATATCCGATTCCCATCAATTATAAAAATGATCGTTCGTTTCAGCCGAATGACGCACTACTGGACAAAGGCTTCCCCCTAGTGAAATAAAAAAATGTGTTTACATATTATGATACTCTCTTTAGTCTCTTTTGTTTCTTTTTTCTGGTTATTACTTATTTCCATTATTTTAGTCCGCTAATGTCACAAGAAACAAAAAAAATAATTTAAATTCACTTGTTCGACATAAAATTACCTACGACTCTAATCGAAGTTGACATTAACTACTTATTAAACTGATTTGATTTTAATTATTTACAAAAATCTAACTTCTATTACACTCAATCTGCATTACGTGCGTTCGATTCCAAAATGGAATTCATCAGCTGAGATCATGCGAGATGGGATTTCCCAAATCACCCTCTCGCAGTGCGTGATATTTGAGAATCTCGTGACTGATTAAGCCCGAGTATCGTGCTGAGACGGTGCAGCCACAGCTAAGAAAAATCAGCCAGACCATTTATCTCAATATGGGTGTGTGTGCGACATGTACTAATATTGCCACACAAAAACACTTTATAGCAACCCCTCTAGCAACCCAAGATCCTTTTAATTCAATTGACAGAGAAATTGCATTGAAATTTTAAATAAGAGTTGGTAAAAAACTGACGTCGAGGATGTTTTTCATAAAATCTTTATAGTACAATCACGTTTTGACAGTAGTCATAAAAGTGCCTTACTGATACTAACTACATACAAAGCTTTTTAAAGTGGGAAGTGAGTGAGAATTCTACAAAAAAAATAAGAGAAGAGAAAACTAATTGTTTGTCTCGTAAACAACTCTACATAATTTCTCAAACAATCTTGTAAACGTAATAACAATAACTAAACACTTAATATTCTGACGGCCGTCGGCTGGAGAAGTAGACAAATATTTACACTTCAGCTCGAATCGATCACGCCTAATCGACGAGCTACCCCAATATTAGACATTTGGGATTAAGTCTGGTCTAGGTCTTAGGCATATTGTGCTAAACACTGTGTCATTATTACTATGCCAGTTATATTGACGTGTCAGGTTGTACAGAACTTATGACTAGATTCATGAAGAATGCTAAACGCTATAATGAGGTTAAAACAACGCGTGTTGGTTTAGCCGAACCTTTAGTGAGCGCTAAATTAGGGCATGTAGAATAAGGCACTTGGCTAGATCTGATATTTTTACAGTACGAGCTATACCTACCTACTCATTTGGACGTTACTTTATTTAGAAATTATTTTGGTACGATATGTAATTCCAAAAACGCACAACTATTCATGCATGTGCGCTGAAGTAAGAACATTTCGAAGATTAATTACTTGGGTGAGTGCACTAATGCAGGAAAGAAACAAATCAAAAACTATTTATTATGCAACTTCAGCAGTTTTGACATTGACCAATATCATATAATAATATTATATTGGACCACAGATTACGTTATTACCTGAACTCGCTCCAATAGCCGACAATCACAGATATTAGAACGTTTGCATATTTCAAGCTAATGATAACAACAGTCCTAAGTTTATTCACGTTATTTAGAACCAGATCCAAAGTAGGTATTATATTCCGATACAAGTAGATACATACACCGAACACCCGACAATGTTATCCAAAATTTAACAAGCCTCAAACTGATTAGACATAACGCAATTACTGAACAGAAATTCGGTTAAATTGAATTTATACTTAGATATATGAGAGCAGAGATTACTCGTAGCCGCGGCATTAATAATTACAATAATTACAAAGCCGTAATCAGACTTAACTTAATCTAGAATTAATAATATGAGATATTACAAGGTAATTTGGGTCGTTAGGGATGTTGCAAGCAGGTCGAGTTTCCGTTAATTTTTACATTTAACTAATTGAGGGAAGAGATTGGGTCGGGCCCGAAGCTTTCAAAAGACCATTAGGCATTTAATTTCGGATTTATTATTCATATATTTTTATGATTTTTCGTAAATTTTTCATAGAAACTCGTTCCCCGATTCTTAGTATAGGCACGTCATTATTTCTCATAATGTTTGCCTAACAAAATCGATAAGTATTAGTACTTAATGAGCATACAGACCGACAGTAGTACATCAACAAAATTAAATGAGGACCCAATGACTTTTAAACTTTATTCGCGTAGTAATGTGAAAAGTAATGAAATAGCAACAATGATCTTTTTTTCTGATATTATTTTACCTTAACAGCGAACTCAACATTTTGCTTGAAGTTATATAGTACCTACTTGCGCTTCTAAGCGTTAATTATAGACAATTAATCGGTCAAAAGATTCCTTAACAAAACCCTTTGTCATCTTTTATTAATAACACTCTTCCATACTAATTTCATAACCTGTCTTCCAGACGGACCATCGAGCCGTTACAAATGGCCGTTGTCTGTATTTACGCGTAAATTAACGAAAAATATCAGCGTAATACGCGTTTATTTACCCGCCGGCGGTAGGGGTAATTGCGGCGATCCAGGCCCGAGGGATGGCTAAATAGCCCTCCCGATACTAGCTCGTTGCCGCGGGGCTGTCTGCTTTGAACGTGAACTGTAAAAATCATTTTCAACCATAAATACCATTAGGTCCGGTTTCCACCAAAGCGAGATGAGTATAAATGAACAATCTGATTCGTCATTAAAGTTGTTTGGAAAAACTAGTTATTCAAACATATTACCTTCTCTTTTCTCCGCTTTGGTGTGTCTTATAAGTGCTTTCGTATGGACTAATTCTACATACAATAATTGAACCAGCTTTGAGTGACAATTTTTACAACACAATAACTAATTAGTTAAAACAGTACTTGACAAACTTTTAATGAGCTGACTTTAGATTTTGTATGGCAAGAAAGAACTGTTTTTCAAAGTGTCTTGGAGCACCAAGTGAATTTGTTCACCAAATTAGAACTTAATAATAAATAATAATAATAATAATAAATATCTTTGGACAATCTCACACAGCGCCATCTAGCCCCAAAGTAAGCAATTAATATACTTGTGTTATGGGTGCTAATTAACGGATATACTACTTATATACTTTTTTTTTTAAATACATACATATTATACATAGTAACACCCAGACCCGTCACAGAAATTAAAATTCATCATTTCAATTTCTGCCCGACCGGGAATCGAACCCGGGACCTCTCGGCATAGTAGTCCGTTCTGAACCACTACACCAAACGGCCGACGAAACTTTCTAACTATTTCTGTAATAATGTCAGTCAAATCGCCAATTTCAGACTTCTCATTATTTCAGAATTTCATATTCTGTCTCCACAGTTTTGCTAAAATTGGTGTGCAAATAAATCATTTAAGAACATTTTTAGAAATTCCATCACAAGTCAGAAAAATAATTCAATTGAAGCTTAAACCGACACAATTAGCGATCTTGTTGAGCTCTATTATTAATTATACATTGGCTTTATTAATTGGCTATGAACAGAGAAATGAAAATATTTACAACTGGGACATGCTCGCAGATCAATGAGCCCCGAGGCTTGTCTTAGCTAATATTGATCGAGTGTCTCGGATACGATGATCAATTAAGTCTATTTATAGTTTATTATGATATAAAATCAATGAAACACAAAATACGATGTGATTGTTTCTTAAAATCACTTCTGTGATAGCAATTTTTCTATAGTTGGCGAGTGGGCTTATATTAGTGGTGGCTCGCAACTGTTCGTTTTTCAAAAGTTTTGATAGACATTTCACTATCGTTATGTGCATGTACACGTACACACACAAGTACAGCTCACTCGCCTTCGTGAGTTGCAAGAACTATACCTAACTGATACACAACAAACTCAGAATACAGAACAAACCAGAAACCGTCAACGGGCGTAAATGTGTATTCATATAAAGTACTCCAAATCGCACTAATTTGACTTTAGAGCAATCAGTCAATGGCCGGCGCGCGCATTGTTTACATATCCGTCAGATTGACACTTTATAATTAAATTATGCCGTCTTGTGCCGTTCCAACATGTAAGAATGCTACTGGAATTACGAAGAAAGTGCATGGGATCATGTTTTATCCGTAAGTAGCACATTTCCAATTCATTTTAATTAAATAATAATTTTCAAAAAAAATCACGGTTGTATTTTGTAAGTGTTGCCACAGGTCAACGGAATATTTTACCCTACTTTTTTATATTGAATTACATTTGTCTACTTATAAAAAATTCACGCGTTAATTTTGTTAGCGTTACCACAGAATAATGGAATATTTTCCCCATCCTTTTTGTTTTAATTAGTTTTTAGTGTAATTTCATCCATGACATGACAACCTGATTAATTAAATTATAAGTGCCACTTGTGGTCTAAACTGAATAAATATTTTTGATTTTGATTTGATTTCAATATATTGAATTAATTTATAATATTACTCCCTAATAATGAGGAGATAATAAATTACTATCGTGAATTTCATACTTTCCCATTTATTCAATAGTAAGGCATTGGTATCAACAGATCAGCAGCAGCAATATTTGTATATTTAATAATAATTTTAAGTTATTAATTATTGCTTACATACTTACTCTGATTTTCTTTCAGGATACACAGCCAGAGTTGCCTCGCAATCAAATTTAAGTATTGGTGATGTTTTTGGTTTGGATTCTGTGTTTGACTCCAAGAAAAGTTAAACTAAAAGCACTACTGCGCCGTAAACAAATGTTTTGTTGTCGATATGTTTACATAATAAAGAACCTTAAGTTTCTTTTTTGTTTTACTTGGCATTCTAAAATTTATATTCGACTTTTGTAATTTATTTATTTATTTATTTGAACACCAACAAGGTTACATTGAGGCTTCACAAAAGTAACTATAAAAAATGACACTTGTTAAATGCAAACTTAATTGACTTTTAAATAACATATTATACCTACATATAGTATATTACACTATTTAATAGAAATAAATAATCAATCATCATAATAAATACTTTCTATTCTATTCTATTCTATTCTACACTTAGTTACTTCGGAGTAAAAATTAAATTCATAGGTAGGTAGGTACTATCTATGCCTATGGCCAGTCATGTCGTCTCGTTCTATCGCAAAGAATCACCATTTGATAAGAGCGAGAGCAAAAACGGAAATGGATAGTTAACACTGGCCGTGTGTACTTATTTCGCTTACTTATTTTTTACTTGTTTAACATCTCTTTAAAAAATTACATAATTTTACCCCAAAAATGGGGGTGTCACACGGCGCTAGTAACACTAAAGGGGGTAGAGGGGCGCGGGAGGGGAAGTATTTTGGACACAAGTTGCCGCGTAGAAATGTTATCGAACACTCCTTCTGGTTTGTTCCGTATTCTGAGACAACAAATGAATTTTATCAGTTACACTAAATTATTAAATTTTTATTAATTTAAATAACTAAAATTATGAAATTTAATGTAACTGTCGTTAGGCGATTATGAAAAACGAGATCAAAGAAGGTACTCAAAATCGTGTTACATTGTCTAAAGGCGCCCAAGTCGATAAATCTGTAAGTAACATTTATAGACACAGAAACCGACACTTGAATTTACAATAGAAATGTTCTATTCCTCACATAATACCGACATTTTTATTGACTGAAGCAAATTCTATCAATTTGAACCGGTCTGTGGTGCTTCTAAGGATCTTTCTTTTTTATCCTAACAACGATCGACAGCCTAGCATAGTGGACTAGATACCTCGCTTCATAGAAATATAGCTCCTTAAGACCGGTATATCGACGAAAAGGACTACTGATAACTCTCTACATGCCTTTCTAATGGCAATAGGCTTCGCCATCTATTTTTTCAGTTTAGCTCAAAGGTTAGGTCACAAATGCCTTATGTAAGAATAAGAATGTCTTTATTCAGCACAATTTAAGGTATACAAAGCAAGAGTAAACAAAAAAACTAAATAAAAATATAAATGCTAAATAGGCGCCCGCTCAGCAAAAATCGCGACATGACACAAACGTCATGCCTGTGATGAGGATTGCGCGCCCTTCTGGTCGAGACCTGTGGTCGAGACGGTTTGATCTTTGGTTTGATCAAACCGTGATGTCATCATCATCATCATTATCAATTCAATAAACCAAACAAAATCAGAGCTGCGTTCATAAAACTCTATTAAAAATGATCTGGCTGTTCTCTACGTTGTCGTCACATTGTAATTTAAAGAAATCTAACCCATACCAGAGCTGCGTCCATAATCATCATCATCATTTCAGCCATAGGACGTCCACTGCTGAACATTGGCCTCCTCCCCCAATGATTTCCACAATGGCCGGTTGGTGGTGGCCTGCATCCAGCGTTTTCCTGCTACCTTTATGAGGTCGTCTGTCCACCTTGTGGGTGGACGTCCTACGCTGCGCTTTCCGGTACGTGGCCTCCACTCCAGAACCTTGACGCCCCATCGGCCGTCAGTTCTGCGTACTACATACCCTGCCCATTGCTACTTCAGTTCATAAAACTCCATTAAAAATGATCTGGCTGTTCTCTACGCCGCTTGCATCGCTGGTTCCATTAAGGCCCGTGTGGGCTTTAATCGCGTTATAATCTACGCGCTCGTTACGGAACAATGTTCGCCGATAATTACTCAAGCAACTATTTATTTGTGCTCGTCTCCCGGGCCTAGTGTGTGCGATTTATCCCAAGTANTTTTTTTACTATCTGTACAAAAGTGTTTCAATGGTTCGCATGTACACTGTAGGCTGTTAAAAGGACTATATGTGTTGTCCATTAACATCAATAGCAGTTTATTTGTCCACAAGTACTACTCTTATTTGCTTTAAGCTGAACACGAATGTGAATGTGATATTTTATTACACATTTCCCCAAGCCTGTTTTTAGTTGTTCATGGTGGTTCTGTACATGATGCAGAGGAAAATATTATGCCTGAACCTGAAATTTCCCTTCAAAATATACCAGATATCAGAGTGTGATGATTGCAGTTCTTGTGATAGTGAATACCATTTTGATTTGGACAATTACCTATTTAACCTTTCGCAACAAAAAATAAGAACATGGGCTATTGAAAATCGTATTCCTCATTCCGCTTTGAATAAATTGTCAAGCATAATAAACGAATTTAAACCGGGAACACTACCGTCTGATGCTTTAGGTATTCATACTTGACTATTAGTACCTGGGCTAGGCGATTAAACGGACATTAATAATTTTTATTCTGCGCACTATGTGCCCTGCCCATTGCCACTTCAGCTTGCTAATCCGTCGGGCTATGTCAGCGACTTTAGTTCGTTTACGGATTTCCTCATTTCTGATTCGATCTCGCAAAGAAACACCAAGCAAGATGCAGGCCGCTACCAATCGATCAATGTGGAAAGCATTAGGGGAGGCCTATGTTCAGCAGTGGACGTCCTATGGCTGACATGATGATGATGATGATGATGAATAATTTTTATTGCGGATCTCTAAAATTTCAGTATTTGAAAGAATTAAAGATACACAATTGACCTGAACTAGGTACATCTTAAAGCTGTACATAAGTTCACATTAGAATAAATTTATAGACATTAGCGCTGTAGTGGTACAAATGTGGAACTTCATATAGATAACAGCATTCTAACAGAACACATGTGAACCTAATATACGCTCACCGCATTAAATTGGAGTTATAACAGTTCACATAGCCGTATTTCATTTCCACCATTTTGTTCTACATAACCTAAAATATTTACCAAATAAATCTCCAAAATTAATGCAGATTTATCACAAAATTCGCAGATAGAGCGATTGAGTTTTGGTTTCATGTTATAATTAATTACCGTAATATAATTATAATGCCAATCCAATATCAAAAACTGAAAATTGTAGATTTCCTCTCAGCCAGTTTTAAATATTTTAAAATGAATATCGCGTTTTTACAGAGGCGCGTAAATATTTTAGCTGTAAATATGTATACATTTCACGATAAAGTTGCATTCCCAATGGCATTAACATTATTAAGTATTTAAAACCCGTGTTATTATTTGCATAAATGATTATCCGCCCGAGTTGTTTCCCTCTTGGCACTCACGTACAAATACCAAACTAATATTAAAATGTGGAAATAATTTAAGACACACGTGAACTTTAGGTAGCATTGGAGTACTTTTGTCGGACTTTATAACTTTGAAAGCTGTGCATTTAGCCACTTGTTACTCTTTATTGTCCTCACGTACGTTGTATGGTTCACACTGCGTCCCATATAGTGCCGTAAGTCAGCCTTAAGTACGATGTTACTACTTAAACTGCTATTATAATGCTATTATACTGCTAATGTACAGCCATAGTGAACTTAAAGCTGTCTAATTTGTGCCCAAACTGGTTCTATAAAAGCATTATAGCAAGCTATACAGCTCGTATACAGCTGACATACACAGCTTGTGGAGTACATGTGAACGACTATTGAACTCTTAAATGGAGTAAAATGTTACTTGGGATGTCACTCGCAGACGTAAGGTGTACACATGACGGTACATGAAAGTAAACATTGTACTTTATTCAGTTGTAATTGGAGCGAGTTTGCTACTAATGTGTAGTCTGGTAAGCTGTCGATTGTATTATAAATTGATGAATGGGAATGGGATGACGTCTTTGTGACAAGGAGTGACTGGGAATACGGGGAGTTCTTTATTTTTAGATGTAACTAAACAGATAAAGCAAATTCGTACTCTACATTTAGTTAGGTGACGACATTAACAATAACGATTGCTTTGGAAACTACATCATTGTTAAATATAAATAATAATCAATTAAGTTTGAATCTATGGAAATTAAATTGTGGTATCAACTAATTCATGAATGAGAGTTCGGTATAATGGCTGCGCTCGAAGATTTTTTTAAACAAAAGTTTTCGACTACTTCAAGTGGCTGAAAAAGTCTTCTAACCTTTGTAAAAAAACTATTCAATATAAAGACCTTTACTTACGAGTTTGTAATCTATTTTCGGTCATTATAGCCCTACACCATGCACTCATAACATAATGCATTAAAGTAGTTTTCTTCTTACAACGAACCAATTAGCAGCGAACTAAAACAAAATGGGCGACGTGCTAATTTTGTCATAGTACAAATTAATACTATTACGGAGCCCCTAAGCTTCTAACGCAATAACGGTAGCTCTGGCACATTTTCTATAATGCCCTCACATTTTTATACAAATTGCAACCTTAAGCTAAGCCAGCAAGGTTTCGTTTCCTTGGCTGTCCTGTTCGGACGTTATCTATAAGGCCATATAGATATTGGTCAGTGATCAATTTGCACGTACCTTTATTTTGGCAAACGATTAAGGACGGCAATTTGGAATCCAGGCTACGAGAAAGTTTTTAATTCAACGCGAATTTTGTGAGTTATTTGATCGAAACAATGCTCTCAAATCTACATTTAAGCAAAAGGAAAATAGGAAGATACGATAAAATGAAATATAAAATGTAAAAGTATTATTAAAACAGCTACAGTAACGTTTTCATAATATCGAGTAAAAATTTAAAGCTTTGTCAGTTGGTTTTTCGGGATATATTTTCCTTTTATTATTTTTGGTTATTACGGGAAACATTGCCTTGACAGAAAATAAAGTAAATTCCAAATAAGAGAATGCTAACCAATATACAACTAGAGATTTATAGATACTATAGGTACCTACTTGATTAACGGTGTTTTATTAATCAAATGAAAACATCTATTTACTAGATATTTGTTCAAATATTAATTTGACCTATTCTTGGGAGGCCTTT